GCTATCAGGGTAGGGATTGTAGGAATCCGTCCTGAAAGAGGCGTGAAGAAAGACCGGCGGAGATTCTCGCTTTCATATCACCGATGATGTTGGTGTCAAGATCTCTCACTACAAGGTGATTGTCAACAAGTGCAGTGACTAAAGGGTAGACGCCAGATGCCGTTGGAAATTCCTCACTACACAGAACTTCTGTTGCTGAAACAAGAGGTTTCAGTGCTATGACAAGCCGGGGTCAACCAACGTCCAGTGGTTGTCCTTTAGGTCTATGTGTTTGTGTTTCTTGAGAAGGGGATCGAAAAGCACTGCAACAATGTCACCATGCAAGAGGGACAGCCGGTCAAGCAGAAAGTAGATGGAATTCCAACGCGTCACAACATCGGGTGATGACATGTTTTGGGGTTTTTCCTAGTTTTTCTGATGACTTTCGAGAAACTGTGTTGCCATTGTCGACTTTGAAAAGAAGGCCACAAGTTTGCGTGCATGCATTAGCATGTTTTCAATGCCAGGTACCTTGAGCCCATCATGAACAGCAAGTTGCAGTGTGTGGGCAAAACAGCGGACATGGGGATAACCAGCCGTTTTTTGCCGCAACTGACATGTTTGAAGCATTGTCAGTTGTAATGCCAGACACTGTATTGATACCAAATTCCTCCTGAATTGATTTCAGATTTGCGGCAATATTTGCACCGGTGTGCTGCCCTCTACACGTCGTGTTACAAGGATGCATGACTTTAAATTCCAATCTGATAAGTAGTGGGCAGTGACAGTGATATAGCCGTGAGTGGCTACGCTTGTCCACATGTCCGTAGTTAGGGCAACGGCAGGTACTGTTTTGAGTACTGATATTATGTTCTCCTTGCAATCTTCATACGACTTCATGAGGTAGTTGTGAATTGTCGCGGCACATGGGACCTGGTAATTTGGGTTCAAAGCTTCACAGAAAGCCCTGAAACCCTCCCCTTTAACAAGGCTTATTGGTCGCATATCTTTAACGCACATAAGCATTGCTTTTGCGTAATACCTTCATACCATTTCCTGTTAACAGGCTTGTGACTTTGCTAACAAAATTACCAAACTGCCCCAGCGTTGTTTGCTGAGCTGGTTTTCTCTACAGTGCTTATTTGTGGGTGCTTACAGGATAAATGCTTGCGCATGGAACTTGTTGTACTACCTGCGTAACTAAGGGAAACACCACAAAGACGGCATTTCGTCTTTTTGGCCACTACATCAAGATCAAAATGCGTCCAGACATTGGATTTCTTCTCACGATCATCCATCTTGATTGCGTGAGGCGTTTAGAGTTATCTTTCCTCAGTGAGTCCTCGAGTCCATTGAATTGGACTCGAGTCCTGCTTTACCCGACTCGGCCCCGAGTACCCGAGTACTCGTGAGAGCCCTAGTGCTGTGTGAGTGAAAATGGCTGATGACCTATGATTTGAAATAAGCCAATCCCAATCAACCAGGTGATCATTACAAATCACATACCTGACAGAAAGATAGAATAACCTAATTACCCTATGACCCTGTAATGGAATGATTCAAAGCAATCAGAGACCTGCATTAAGCACTTAAAACACTATTTGCCGACAACTGCTCATTGTGAACACAATGAACCTCTGTTGAACCCAAAACAACACAGGTGTATATACATTTTGATAAAAAATAACGCAACACATGAAGTTAATATAAATGCTCTTTTGTCCACCCTATTACAATATTGTTGTAGTATTGCTGGAAGCGGTGTAAAACCAAACACTCACTCTTTCGGAAAGAATCAGAATAAGTAATATAATAATCCTTCGGAGTTATAAACAGCATGCCACAAAATAACCTTGTATTTTCACTACTGGTTCTTCTGTGGAAACATCCATTGTGATTTTTTATTTATGAGGGGTGTCTAGGTCCCTTTCCTTTGAATTTATTTGAAATGTATTTACAGATAATCTTGCATAGGGCATTTAATTAAGTACTTCTGTTTCCATTTTAATGATGTTCGGTCTCTATTTGATTTGAGTATGTAAGTAATAACACCTCTTTTAGAGTTGGAGATACTTCATTCTTTTGGAGACATCTTTCATAATTCTTTACATACAATAGTTTTAGTTTTTAAAAAAAATAATGAAATTAAATCAACTGGATATCCAGCCGTACAAGGGATCGTCTTATTTTTTCATATTTTTACAGTAACTGCAGTTTCCTTTTATACATTTTTTCAAATTTTCCCATAAATGGATATTTATGGTGGGTGTTTCTACATCATCTATATAATTACCTCTTCGTACCGTGTTGATGATGGATGGTTTTGTAAAATAGTTCAGCATTTTATCACCACCTTCATTATTATTTGGGATATTTTTGTGATTTTATTTGCTTTCTATTTTCTATGGCATAGAAATATTTAGTCGTTTATGACCTTCCTCATACTAGAGCATTCTATGTCTAATATACTCCTCGCAAAATGTATTAGTCTCATTATATTTTCATTTATTGAAATTGCAAATCATGGAATGATGCAGTTGAAAGGTGAAACATATGTACACACGATTAACAAAATGAATAGAAATGGTATTGAGCAATATTAGATTTACAAATCATCGAAAGCATGTACCCGTGAAACAGTCGTGCAAAATGTGCTGCATTGATGGAGCAAAATGTTAACATTAAGGTTCAAGTCAGATTTAGACAGTGAAGCAGTGTTCAGTAACGCGTATGACCACCACGAACACAGACGCAAGCTTCTACACGTCTTGGCATTGATCAAATGAGCCTTACAGTTGCTGTTGTGGAATGTTCTGCAATTCTCTCTGTAACACCTGCTCAAGGTCATCAAGAGTCTGGGGATGAGCATGGAGACCGTAAACACGACTTCCAATAATGTCCCAAGCATGTTCAATGGGATTAAGATCAAGTTACCTTGCAGGCCAGATGTGTGATGTTGTTGATCTAAACAACATCATTAACAAATCTTTCTCGGGCATTATCATCGATGGACGGGCATTATCATCCATAAAAATGAAGTTAGGAGCCGCTTGTTGTACCAAAGGGATGAATGCAGGAAGGTTTACACCGATCAGGGTGCATGTGTGAAGAGTGGAGCACATTCATGCCACACATTTTGCATGTTGTTTCTGAGGGTGGTTGTGTTCGGGTGATGTTGTCAATGTTATCAGATAAATCAATTTGACAGTCACTAAAGGTTATATATTCTTTGAATAGTTACCTTTCAGTAACATGTCGGTAAAAATCGCTATCGAAATTGATAAAGATATTACACTGAAAATACTTGATGCTTATTTTTGTGTGAGGAGCATACGCATTCCTAGGATTCTTCTTACTATATAGTTTGTTCTAGTTCAATCTTGTATTTCGATAGTTCAGCAAACCTAGTTTCGTACGTATTTTGAACATCTTTTCTAACGTTGTTTTCACGGTTTCTTGTTTCTTAGTTTCTTGCTCAACAGCTCTACTAATGCTGTTATTCTTAGGATAAGAACAGGATGGCGTGGACTTTCTTTTACTTTCATAAGAAAGGTTTCTAACAATAAGCTATCATGAACATTAAGTTGTATATTTGTGTATTTGTTTATTATCATTTTGTCTGTGTCTGGATATGCTTCAGTCTCCATTGATTTGCTGTGCCTAAGAAACTTAACACCCCTGACTGATGGTGACCAATACTGAAATTAACAACACACGTGTTTTCGATGGTTTGATATTTTGTGTCAAATCAAAAGCAAAGTCCCTGCCTTTCAAATGAAGTCATCATTTTGAGGCCGTGTCCAACACGTAGGTCCCAACAACATCAGAATGAACCCAAACTCTCCAGATTGGTCTGTTGATTTGTTATATATATGGTTTAAAAGCCGATAATGTACTGCCGCACACGTATTGTCACAGCTTAGAATAATGTCATAGTTGCTAATACTTTTATCAGTTCGGATGTCACGACTTGCGTGACTGTACGCTCCATACGGAAAATATGTCTTCTTAAAGAAAAAGCATCTATTACATATGTGTCAGTAAGTTGTGAATGCTTGCTCTGTATACTTGTTTCGTAAAACATGACCGGCTTAAATAGTTGTATAATTAATCTGGGTGCCTGTGAGGGAACTATTAACCAAGTCTTTATGTAAATTATATTTATACGTCTAGTTTATAGTCATTTTCCGAAATGATGGTCTGTTTGTGGTTTAAAGCCGCTGTTCTAGTTTGTAAATAATAGACTCTGGACCCGATAGTCTGGTGACTGCCATAATGAGCATCGTCGGTTGTGCCGGTAGGTGTTTGCTTGAGGGCAACTTGCCTGAATTTAAAGAAAAAACACCCCCATGTCCCTTGACACCTTCATTCACATTTTGAACATATTTAAGGAACACTGGTACAACGAAGTTCAGTATCTCAAGTGAATTTGTCTTACCTACTGTCTGCGTGTTGTTTAAAGTCGCACATAGCAATATTCAACTATATACAGACAATAGAACCACAGAAGGGACGTTGTCGTCCTCACAAAAAGTGTCAAAATTTACCAAAGCTCGACAACGCCACACGTGGGCCATTTGTTGTATAGTTGCTGTGTTGCATTGTCGCGTTTCGAATAATATTTAACATTTAAACGAAAGGTAGACAATGCGACATCGCCAAATGTCACTTCTAGGATTCCACAACAGACTGTAATCTAAGACTGATCTAATGTGGTGTCTAATCACCTTTCTTTATCACCTTCAATTACGGACGCGAGAAAGCGATGTGCAAATTCCTCTCTTATTATCACTTTATCGCTTCCTCGTCTCGTATTATACCTTAATCGTGAACCATTTAAAACCGATTTATAAAGCGATGTCCCCTCTCGGCCATGACAGTCGAGCTATTTTATGCACGCCCCGTGTCGTGGGTACGCGCAATGTACCATGACACCGAGCGTAAGACCAGCACAGGTAGCTAAGGTGCTATTCCAACTCTGAACGCCCATATTTGGAACTGATACCAAACACCAATATATATTTTGATCCATACAAACAACAACTTTATTCCACAATGGACAAAAATATTACAGAGGTGTCAGTGTTAATTTGCAGATTCAAATCGACACATACAAAGAATAGCGATAACGGCACAAAGTCAGACACACCAAAAATATTGGAATAATAAGAGCGAACTCGTGTGAGGATTTTTCAGTTACTCAATGTTTTGAAAATACATTTTGTATGTTGATGTTTTCAGGATACACGTTGTGTCCGTGTGTTCTAACATCTGAACAGATAAATTCTGCAGTGACGATACAGACGTCCCCTGTAGATGAAGTATCTGCAGCGAATTCTGTAGCAGGTGGCTCGCTTGCGCCTGTCTGAAACAGAAAGAACACAGAGTGTTTGACTGCTTGTCTAGAATAGCGTGCCTCAGTACACAGGGTGTAGTAGTAGTAGTAGTAGTAGTAGTAGTAGTAGTAGTAGTAGTAGTAGTAGTAGTAGTAGTAGTAGTAGTAGTAGTAGTAGCAGTAGTTGTAGTTGTAGTTGTTGTTGTTGTTTGTTTGTTTTAGTCTCATCTTGTAGTTACAAATATATACATAGTTTTATAGAGCATGCACAAGCCGCCAGAAGACCATAAGAGACTTAAAGAGCATTAAAATACGTGAGATAGATAAAATGATTAAAATAAATTACATAGAATTATACACTTGAAATAAAACATCACACACACACGCACACACACACGCGCGCGCGCACACACACACATAGTATCAGTGGTAAACACAGAAGCGCTCACACAGAGATACACGTTTTCACATTCACCACTCATACTTACACATACAAATACATACACCCACAACCACAGTCATACCAACACATACAAAAAACACATATTAAGCATCACAGTCACGAAGCTTTACTCAATGCACCACTGTGATGGATCTTCACAGGCCTTCAAGCGAACACACATGACTTACCCACCAGTCTTTATCAAACAATAATACTTCCTTTACAAAAAACCTACACACAGACACAGATGCAGACACAGACAGACAAACACAGACGCATGCATAGATCAATCCATCCATCCATACATCCATACATCCCTACATACATGCATGCATGCATACATCCATCCATCAATCCATCCATCCATCCATCCATCCATCCATCCATCCATCCATCCATCCATCCATCCATCCATCCATCCATCCATCCATCCATCCATCCATCCATCATCCATCCATCCATCCATCCATACATACATACATACATACATACATACATACATACATACATACATACATACATACATACATACATACATACATACATACCATGAGGAAATCCATTTCTCGTGTCTCCCGCCTTGATATATCTAGAATATTGCTTACAGTTAAAAGCACAACTCACTCACTCATTCATGTGAGTGCTGTGTGGTCCTGTGCGGTCCTGTGCATAGAGCTCAGGCCACAAATCAGTTGAAGTTAAGGAACGTTGGGAGCGGAGAGACCTCGGATGGGTGACCGTGTTTGGCAGCTTGAATACTGAGAGTTTCTAGGCCATCAGTCCTGCCCCACAACGAAGCACATGTGATACATGTGGTCTCACCTTAGGCAAGTGATTTTGTTCAAAATTGCCTCTGTTCACTAGGTGGGATAAGTCATGTGACTATTAACCTACCAGCGCCTCACCGGCAGCTTGGGTTATCCGGGATTATGATAATCAGCTTCCAGCGAGCAACCAGACAGAAGGATGGATACTAGGCGCTATAAAGAATAATGAATTGTTCTTATATACCTCCACTGACAGCAGTGTCGTCAGCCACGAGGACATAGACGTCGCCTGTGCACCATTGTTTCACACTGTCCAACACAGCTTGGTCAGTCACCAGTACCGGAGTCTTTGTTTGGTCTATTGTGGCCTCAGTCACCTGAGCAGTAAAACAACAACACTAAGGTAGGATTGTCAATTCAGTGAGTGAGTTTAGTTTAACGCAGCACTCAGCAATGTTCCAGCTATATGGCGGGTTGTCAAGTCAGCCTCAATGTAGTTACATGACTATTATATATAGAACGTCACTGCAAAAGAATACCCAATCTTGACTATCCTCAGAAACAAATTCCCTTTAGTGTAAAGTGAAAAATACCTGTGAAAATTATATGCATGGATCACTAAAAATCAGTGATGACATCAGGTGTTCACAAAAAGGGAACGCATGTCCCGAAAGCTAAGGTCCATCTAGCGCCAACAAGATCTGAAAGGTTCAGGTCCACTTGAAATACATTAAGCCAAAAATTGAATTTCGGACCACTGAAACTTCTGATACATTACCGCCTCCAAATTGAAACAGGTCGATATATTAATCAACCCAGACCAAATAGATTATGTTTTGTATGTAAAGTTAACTTTATTGAAAATGAATTTCATTTTATTTTGGTATGTAAATGTTATGAAAATCTGAGATGTTTGTATTTACCACACAATTTCTATTCGAATCCCACTATTCATAAGTATGGTCATGACAACTGGCAATCCATATATTGTAAATAACTTAGCTATTTATATACACAATGCAATGAAACTTAGAGATTCACTTCTATGCCAATAATATCATATTTCCTTTTGTCTATTTTGTTAATTAACTTATTGTCTTCTGAACTATATATGCACATATGTACCGCTCATATGTAATCCTGAAGTGTAACCTGGGCCTATGGCCTCCACTAAAAAGACAATAAAGATTGATTGATTGATACTTATCGAAAAACACTCAAATGTGTTTTCGATCTCTGCGGACAAAACTAAACTCGCCAAAGATACATTAAACTGTACTCACTTCGGCTGGCAGCGGGGCTGGATCTTCGTCAATGAAGCAGGTATCGTTACCCGCAATCTTAAACACACGGCGGCCCTGTGGAAATAGTTGGACAAAAACATGAAACTAGTGTAAGGACGTGTTCAATCCATGTTCTATTACTTTATTACCCTTACAGCAAATTTACATTTATATCGAAAATAACAAATATTTAAATTTGTATCCGTTCCATTGATACAAATATGGCTAACACTCGCCAAAACCTTCCCAGGAGACTGGTGATAAGGCCAACAAAGATTTTCATACCACCAAATTCAGCCTTCATTTTGGGCTTTTGGGCTTTAATTTTGTGCATATTTGGGCACTTGTTCAAATAGAATCATTGAATATAAGAAAACTGAGAAACTGTTGTATCGAACGAAAAATAAAATTTAAACATTTATTTTTACAATAACAACAAATGCTAAATATGTTAATCGATTATCTAAAAATAATATCGATATATAATGAACTATATTTCCATTCTACCACCAACCGTAAAACAATATTGTGAAAGATCCGTAAACCTCAATTATGAGGAGCTTAACCGTGTAAGACATCCTGATCGAGTAAATGCTGATATACAAACATGTTACCTTTTCGTCAACACCGACGAAGACGTTGTCGGCCTCCCCAGGTACTGACGACACACCTGTCCCATTCTCACAGTCCTCCTCCACCAGGGCACCATTGTCCATCTTCTCACACTGACCACATAGTTCACAAGAAAACAATGAGGAGAATGACGCTAGACAGGCCAGTTACCAACGTCAACTGGTTTAACATGGTATGATAATGCCACGGTTTAAGAGAAACTATACCAGTTATTGCCGTCAAACAACAACAAAGTTTCTTCTCAAAGAAGCTAACCAATTTAATTGTAAAGCCCTCTTAAATGCGCAAATCATTTTAGTGTATATGCAAGTGCTTTTGGCCTCGGGGCATGTAAAACAAACTACACCAATCTTGTCTCGAATGAATGATTTCATTACACCAAAGGGTCATTACGAAAAAAATCATCTTTTGTCAGTAGTTAAACATACTTTTCTTCCAATTAATATCAGATGTTTAGTATATACCTACATATTAATATCAAATATTTATTCATGATATTTAGAAACTTTTATAAAATAGACAGCATAGGTAAACTCATGCCAATTGTTCGTGTTAAACTATATTTGAAAGAACTTACTCACCAAGAAAACTTAAATATATTGAAGCATGTGATCACACCCCTGATGTCCCATATGAGAATACTATTTCCTGGTCAACGTGAAAATTGGAAACAAAGTTGAACTCATGTCATTTTGTCAGTTCTCTAAAATAGTTTTGTTCAAATTAATGCCAACTTATTAGTATATATTTATATTTTGGACAAATATTTATCCATGTTGTTGAGAAACAGCAATGGCAAATCATGGTGTCCCACTGACTATGTATTCGCAATGTTTACATCTGGACCTGATAGTCACTTTTAGCTTGAAACATGACTTAGTTTTGAATTTAGTTGTTTAATGCTGAACGTATATTCGTATATGTTTACACAGCATTGGCAAACCCATGTCAATGGGGTGCATTTAGCAAAATTGAAAACAAAATAAAGATTTAACATGTGATCCAAATCGTGACAATGCATTCGAAATGTTTACGTCTGGACATGTTTCTTACTGCTAAATTAGTGATGAAATATGACCTATTTTTTCATTTCGTTGTTTAACGCCGAACAATATTATGCCGAAACTATTAAGGATGTAGCTACCATGCAGTCTCACTGTCACTATGAAAAGAAACAGATAGGAGGGGTCGTCTCAAAAGCAAAACATGGGGTCGGGCTTGGGGATAGAGATATCAGCTAAGATAAGATAATCCTTTAGGGCAATTATACTGGGGAGGTACACGGCACGTCATAACAATTTACAAATAATATCCAGTCCTGTCGATCTTCGGGTGGTCATCCCACCTATATACTACGATGCGTTTCTATGGTTTTTCGGGTATCATACTCTTTTACATATCTCAACATAAACTATATGAAACTATATGAAAGAAAGACACGTTAGATGTTAATCAAAAGATGAGACATCGTCAACATACATGCAAAAGCACAAAATATCTTTGAGATGACCCCTTGTGCCTGTAGGCAGCACGTGCATTTCATGCCAGGTGGGTCGACGGTCCGTCGTCATACCTGGCTGAGCGATCTAATTGCCATCTATAGTCCGACCTATTGTTTTCAGCCGCTATTCAGTTTTTTTCTTAGTTTTGCACGATTTTACGAGTAAACATGCTTTTCTGGATATCGTATTACGCATCCCACTGAACGCCCAGTTAGGCCGATGTGGGTTATTTCGACATATGCTATTTGCAATTGTGTAAATTTTAGGGATACAGAGTAACAGCCTAAAAACAGTTTTTTTCTATTTCCGACAGTACTATAGTATCTGTACAAAAACTAAACACTAAAACACGACACAAAAACAACAACACACTATAACGAAAAGGATCCAAAACAAAAGCCAACGGTTACTTACTTTCGTCACTAGGGGAGTTGAATAGCCAAATGCGCAGAAGCACAGGACCAGTGCAAGAACAAATGTTACCTGGAAAACAGCCAATTAAAGTAAAAACAATATAATGTAAATACATACTAACATTTGTATAGCGCCGATATCCAGCTCAGCTCAGCTGCTCAAAGGCGAAATGGGACACAAGTGATTCCACTACAAGCTAGACATGCGAGGGTCGTTCAAAAAGTAGTCGGCCTAACTGTATTCTCGATGTCTAATGTTTGAAAAGCTTCCAGTAGATTTTGAAGGAATCATTAGCAAAGCCATATCCAAAATTTCACATATGCGGGTAATGTGGTTAAGGAGATATTAGTCATCACAACCCATTTGGGTATAATATTTCAAAAAGAAAATACAGAAAATGAAAAACGAGCTGTCATTTGGTACCTGTTGGATAATGGTATGCCCTCAGATAATATTTTATAAAATATATTCAGTATAGTATTGAATGACTTCCCGTCATATTCAACATTCAAAGATTAGGATTGCCTGATTTATATTTAGACAGGGGCTGTTTTTTTAAGGCCGTCCCCTTTTTATTCTGTCAAAAACATTGTGTCCAGATATTCAAGCTGGCCCTGTTTACAATATATTGAGAGCTGACACTTGTGTGACCATTCAGTATTTAGTTTGAATCCTTGACATCGTGTATGAATAAGTGAAAACATTAGAATAAGTTATGTCCTTATGATTACCTACTCTGAACGGGGGTGGGTAGTGTCTCCAAAACAAGCTCTTTCAGTAAACATGAAGGGGGGAGTCACTTTAACAAGCGATTGCAGTTTCAGATTGCTTCTTTATGCACTTTAATATCTAAATTTGATTCTAGCGGTTTTCTACCTATCTCAAACACACAAAATGTGTCTTGCATATTTTGTTTCCTGAAGTTTGTGATGCATTTATTGCAGATTTTTGCGTTTTGGGGGGTACCAAGATAAAAAGTAAAACAAAATTGGGATCTTGCGGCTGGAACATAGCAAAACCAATTTGCTTGAGATTGACAGAAAATTAAAACATAAAAACAGCTGAATTTGTATCATTTTCTAGGTAAGGCCGACTACCTTTTGAACGACCCTCGTATACCACATTTAATTACATTCTGAACGAAAATTAGTACGCAATCTGTCGTAAATTGTATTGGGATGTTTCAGTTCCAGGAAATGCATATTGAAAGAATTTGAGACTATGGCTCGAAATGCAAAAGTCAAATTTAGGTACTTACGAAAAATACAATATTACGATAAACTGAACATGTGTGCTGAGCCTCATGGCAGATTAGACAGTATGGAATTCTATAACAGACTGAAATAAATTGCCTAATCAAGGAAAGAGTAGTTTCTGTTTTCAGTGTAGTCGGAGATCCGTGATGAAATCAAGCAAAAGATAAAATTATCGTATAAAACGGAAATGTTGTAGATCCCTTGGAACAAGTAATTCTTTACATTTGGATTAAATAGTCATTATGCATCAGTTATACTTATAACTAGGTGTTTCCTAAGTGAGATAAAGAATAATTAACGACGACGATGGCAAGGTGAGCTAAAGATTACTGGGCGTTGACAACTACTGAAGATGACTTGTGACCTGCGACGACATAAGTCACCCGAGTAAAAAGAAAGTTTAATCCCAACACAAAAAATGCAATTCAAAATGTTACTTACTTTGACGCCCATGGTCTTCAGATTTCAGATGCTGAGTTGACAACTTCGGTTTCTTTATGTCAGTTCAGGATCACGCTTCCGTTGATTCTGTCCTCAGTCAAGATTTAAGCCACATTTTATACATTCGGTGAGTCGGAGCTAAACCAATCAAAAACTCTGATTGCACAAGTAAAAATTCCCCGAACTGTTTTCTTGCGCAATTGTTCTTGAGCTTGAAACAGGATTGAACGTTGCCACGGCTTTGTTGACGAATGTGTGTCACATAACGCATTGTTGATAACTTGTTGAATATTCATATACATTCGGGGAGCCTTAGTTAAGCCAATCAAAAACTATTTGCACAAGTAGAAAATCCCCTAAAAATATTTTGCACTAACACTTCTTTGTTGAAATGGAAAATCACCATATTTGTTCTACACGGAGTTCTCCAAGCAAGGTAGTGAAATGCCATTATAATCTAAAGCTGATCATTTTAAATGATATTGCAGATTTTTTTAACAATGTCCTTGAAACTCAATCCTCAGCATTTAGTTTTAATATTTGTTTTATTTGGCATGTTTATTTCATTGATGAAACGTGGAAATGGTGTCCAATACCAACTGTGAAGTTAATGAAAGCATAGTGTTCATTAAAGGGATACTTCAAAATACATTGTCGCAGAAGTTTTTTTTAACCGAATTCGGGTATTTTTTATTTAACCCTTAACATTCAAAAGTTTATGAAATCAGAAAATTGGAACTTTTGTCTGCTAGAGAAAGTATAGACACGACACAGCGTTGAGCTCCAATGGTGTGTTAGAATCTGATGTTGATGGGTTCGAATCCCGACATGAATATGATCCTTCCTTTATTACAAGTTTCGATTTAGCCTTAAATACTTCGAGTAAAATGCTTTTGAGAACAGAGTTAAATGTACTGTCTTGCACAGTACTCCTTCAGTATGGCGTCCGTCATTATATATCTCACCCTCACTCACTCTCTCACACACACGGGTGCACGTACAGTCAGTAATACACGCTCCTTACGCTCCATCACAATTTATACACTGAGTCCCTACTGGAAATAATAAGGAGAATATGAAGCAAAGTAAGGAGACGTTGTAAGTAAAAAGTTTCGACTAAACTTAAATATTTCGTGTAAAATACTTTTGAGAACGGAGTTAAATTACTGTCTTACACAGTACTCCTCAAATATGAGTGAGTGAGTATAGTTTTGCGCCGCTTTTAGCAATATTCCAGCAATATCACGGCGAGGGACACCAGAAATGGGATTAACACATTGTACCCATGTGGGGAATCGAACCCAGGCCTTCGGCGTGACGAGTGGACGCTTTAACCACTAAGCTACCCCACCGCCCCTGCAATATGACGTTAGTCATTATCACTCTCTCTCTCTCTCTCACACACACACACACATACACACATAAATAAGGAGAATGTCAAGCAAAGTAAGGAGACATTGATGTGCACACACATCGAAGCGCGATTTTGAGTTATGTATTCAAATTGCAAATACATGAAATCTGAAATGTATAGAAAAAAACTTGCAATCCTCTACAGCTTTGATGGGTTACAATATGGTGTTTGATATAGGTAAGATGAAAGACACAGCACAACGGTCTCCACTTTCTGATTTAAAATTTTAAAACTATTATTCCGAAAGTTTAATGTGCACCTAACCGAACAAACCGGTTGTGAGTTATACATGTAGTTATGACAAATATGAATTCGTTTTATGGTCAGACTATACTCGTTATATGAACCTTCACAGGCTTCTACAAAATACACACATCTGTGACATATGTGATCTGAATGACGTCAGTGTAATGACACGCGCACGCGCACGCGCGCACACACACGCGTACACAGGTACTTGTACACATACGAACGCGTACTCAAGCACACACACACAAGTACACAAGCACACACACAAGTACACAAGCACACACACAAGTACACAAGCACACGCACACATACAAACACACACACTTTCACGCTCTCTCTCTCACACACATACACAAACTATACGCATGCACGCACGCACGCACGCACGTAAGCATGCACGTACGCACGCAAAATAACTTCGTCGAGTGTAACTTGCCACGGGATAATTAACGCTAAGTGTATGAAATGGTGTTGATAAGTGTTTATTGAAAAATACAATTCATGATGATATGACGAAATATGCCACACAAAAAAATAGAAAACATTTCATCTGAACGCTTCATACGTTATATCAAAATGAAGTACAACTATCTCACACTCAATATTTCAACATTCTACTTTAAGCGGAGTGGTTTGTTTTTTAAATCTTTTCATCATAAACGCCCCCAGAGTCCACTCGGTGAGCAAGACATAAAACGGGTTTAAAAATATACGCTTTCTGCTTAAAAGAGATGGGTTCTAGGAAAAGCCAGCAATACAAGATTGAGGTCAAAGAGTATGTACATATTGTTGTTTCATGTTAAGCGTACAGTGGAAAACTACCCCGGGTAAAAAGACACTGAATGCACTCCGGTATCTGTTTTTTTGCATCCGGGTTCAGCGTTTGTCTCTGTCATACATATTTGTCAACAACCCACTATATATAGTGACTATATGTGTGGACTAGGCTAACTGCCTGTCAAACACATTTTGCTAAAGAGTCATATTGGGAAATCTTCCGCCGTGTTTCACAGTTTTGCATTAAACTGCAGTTAAACGTATCTAACGTTTTATATATAAAGGTTTAAACACATATAGTTAAAACATGTGTATCTATCAGCATAACATTACCGTCATGAAAACATACAAACAATAACGGGATTCCTTTATTCGTCATGTTTAGTGTAAGATCAGAGTATGGTGTAGTTTGGATAGTGAGTTGGTTTCATTGCAACTGTGAACAATATTCCAGTTATATTAGGGCTTATAATTAAGGAACACACAAAGGTATAGACAAAACATGTATCTGCAAGCACTACAACATAGCCATTGAACATACATACACATGTACCCTAACGGAATATTTGTATTCCTGATGTTTAGCGTGTATGTATATACTGGAATATGTTGTACTATGAGTGAGCTGGTTTCAACGCAACTGTGAACAGTTATATTAGGGCTTAGAATTATGTTAGGATTTGTAATTAAGGAACACACAAAGGTACAGACAAAACATGTATCTACAAGCACTACAACATAGCCATTAAACATACATACACATGTACCCTAACGGAATATTTGTATTCCTGATGTTTAGCGTGTATGTATATACTGGAATATGTTGTACTATGAGTGAGCTGGTTTCAGTTATATTATGGCTTATAATTATGTAAGGGTTTGTAATTAAGGAACACACAAAGGTACAGACAAAACGTGTATCTATAAGCCCAACAGCACCGTCATGAAAACATACAAACCATAACGGCATTCCTTCATTCCTAATGTATCGCTGACAGGTTTTTAAAATTTACTTTCAATAACTATAAATCCATAATTTGATTTAGTCACGATATGGCTGAAATAATGCCGATGTGACTTAACATATTATTTCACTTAACTCACTCATTTCTAATGTTTCTGTATGAGATTTCACTATTGGAATATGGTGTACCATGAGTGAGTTGCTTCCAACGCAACGAAGTGTGAACATTATTCCAGTTACATTAGGGCCTATAATTATGGACCACACAGAAGCATAGACAAAACATGTATCTACACGCACAACACTACCGTAATGAAAACATACCTACCCTCACGGGATTCCTTTGTCCCAAATGTTAGTGTATGGGTTTTTACTATTAGAATATTGTGTACTATGAGTGAATTGTTTTAATGTAGCTGTAAACATTATTCCTTGTATATCACGACTTATAACTAAAGTGAAATAAGCGTGTGGAGTATTGTGGAGGACTTGGTCAGATGATCCTTGAAAAGTAATTGAGTATGCAATTCTACTCAACGAATGGCTGAAATAAATCAGCAGTCTGGCAAGTTATAATATGTATAAAATAGTAATTTAGAGATACATTATATAACATGCTGTCACGCCTGAGGAATGTAAGTCTTCACTGTAGGGCTGGGACGGATCCACATTTTCTACCCGGGTACCCCACCCGCTATTACCCTACCCTACACGGATACCCGTTATGTTAATTCCTGACATCAAATTTACAACAAATGGCAATATATTCTTCAGCTCGGAGGCTAAAATTTCTAGTTTTTCAATATCTTAACCATGTACATGAATTATATTAAAAAGTGACTGTAAATTATGGCTAAATCTTCAAAGACAATACAACCTATTAATCATGAAAGAATAACATATTACATTTACTATTATTCACATGAGCATAACGGGTCCGGGTATTGAGACGGGTTTCCGGGTCCAACTCATTACCCACCCCTCCCGGGTATCTCGGGTTACCCGTCCCAGCCCTACTGCACGACTCATAGCGGTTCGGACCACTGGGTCAACCGTACCCAACACTGACCGTGGCCGTCATGGTGACCGTACCCGTGACTGGGGAATCCATACGCTGCACACAGTGAACCCATCATTACTGGACATGTCACTTGACATTTTCATTCTATGACCTGTCGAGAAACGGGTTAAAAGCTGTTCTTCAGCAACCCATGCTTGTCGTAAGAGGCGACTATGGCATTCGATGGTCAGGCTCGTTGAATTGGTTGACACATGCCATGGCAGCTCAACTGTGTTGATCGATGTTCAGTATGTTGATCACTGGATTGTGGCCAACGTCATTATCATTTACATATAGCTGGAATATTGCTGAGTGCGGCGTTCAACAACAAACGAACTCTCATTTAATGGACATATATTTTCGGATTAAGGAAATTTCTTGTGTAAGATTCAATATTCGACTCCTGAAAAGTGGTCGTTCAATAAACAGAGGTCCTCGTTGTGGTCATTTTGTATGGAAACAAGTGGGCATACATATAACAGTGTTGATCAGTGGGACTTATTTCATAGGGTATTGTAAATATCTTTCAAACAAGTCCAACGAGTGCTGACACTGTTATTTTCCAGCTGTTTTTGTACAGGTGGTTTGTGTGTCTACTCAGGGCGTTAGTTATGCATCGTTGGTGCTATTGACAGTCTCTTTGTGTCACCAACTGAATCACGTTCAGAATAAAGTTCTATTTGAAAAGGATTTCTTAAAAATCAGTCATTGTACATTCATAAGACTTGAAGCAATATATACTTCCTTTCAAAAGTTTAGAGTCACTAGTGTAAATAGAGCCACTTACTTCAGGCAATTTGCGAATTATTAACAAAACTTTACACTTAAACGCAGTTGTTCACATGCACGATATTTGTACATGCTTTTCAGCAATTCGATGCCTGATCCTCGAGCAATTCATCAGCATAAGGTTTGCAGTTGGTTCCCCCAAGTTAGTGGAGAAATCAATCTTCGATTTAACAATATATATGTACATAACATATAGTGAGCGTTTTAAGTGAGTCTAAACTTTTGAAAGGAAGTATATATTCGCGATACTCTTCAACGAAACCCAATTATTTTGAAAATGGCACACGTAACATTTTAGATGTTACAGAAATAAATATTCTAGAGCTTTTGTTGGGTTGAGGATGGCTGTGGTGGCGATTAGATGCCTGACTTAGAGTGAGGGTACGAATCCCGGATGAGACTCGACCTGATACGTACTTGAATCTTGTCTTTATTGAGAAAGAGTAATCTCAAATACAACATAGTTATGTTACATATAACTGATTTGGTTTACCGTTTTTCCTCTAATAAGTACCGGAGCGTATTGGAGGCCGCCGCTTAAATTTTCAACGGAAATAAATATAGATTCTCTATTGGTATTTCATTTGCAAACGCCATTGCGAATAAGTGGCACACTCGGTGGTGATTAGAGACCCTGCGCTTAGTGGAGACCCGACGCTAAATAGAGACCCTGCGCTTGTTGGAGACCCGGCGCTCATTTCTTGAACAGTTGCTTTACCCCCGGCCCTTGAAAGAGACCCTGCGCTTGTTGGAGACCCGGCGCTCATTTCTTGAACAGTTGCTTTACCCCCGGCCCTTAAAAGAGACCCTGCGCTTGTTGGAGACCCGGCGTTCATTTCTTGAACAGTTGCTTTACCCATGGCCCTGATTAGCGATCCTGCGCTTGTTGGAGACCCGGCGCTCATTTCTTGAACAGTTGCTTTACCCCTGGCCCTTATTAGAGGCCTTGCACTTGTTGGAGACCCTGCGCTCATTTCTTGAACAGTTGCTTTACCCGCGTACCTTAAAAGAGACACTGCGCTTGTTGGAGACCCGGCGCTCATTTCTTGAACAGTTGCTTTATCCCCGGCCCTGATTAGAGACCCTGCGCTTGTTGGAGACCCGGCGTTCATTTCTTGAACAGTTGCTTTACCCATGGCCCTGATTAGAGATACTGCGCTTGTTGGAGACCCGGCGCTCATTTCTTGAACAGTTGCTTTACCCCCGGCCCTGATTAGAGACCTTGCGCTTGTTGGAGACCCGGCGCTCATTTCTTGAACAGTTGCTTTACACACGGCCCTTAAAAGAGACCCTGCGCTTGTTGGAGACCCGGCGCTCATTTCTTGAACAGTTGCTTTACCCCGGCCCTTAAAAGAGACCCTGCTCTTGTTGGAGACCCGGCGCTCATTTCTTGAACAGTTGCTTTACCCCCGGCCCTTAAAAGAGACCCTGCGCTTGCTGGAGACCCGGCACTCATTTTTTTAACAGTTTCTTTATCCCCGGCCCTGATTAGAGATCTTGCGCTTGTTGGAGACCCGGCGCTCATTTCTTGGACAGTTGCTTTACCCCTGGACCTGATTAGAGACCTTGCGCTTGTTGGAGACCCGGCGCTCATTTCTTGAACAGTTGCTTTACCCCTGGCCCTTAAAAGAGACCCTGCGCTTGTTGGAGACCCGGCGCTCATTTCTTGAACAGTTGCTGTACCCCTGACCTTTAAAGAGACCCTGCGCTTGTTGGAGACCCGGCGCTCATTTTTGAACAGTTGCTTTACCCCAGGCCCTGATTAGAGATCCTGCGCTTGTTGGAGACCCGGCGCTCATTTCTTGAACAGTTGCTTTACCCCCGGCCCTGATTAGAGACCTTGCGCTTGTTGGAGACCCGGCGCTCATTTCTTGAACAGTTGCTTTACCCCTGGCCCTTAAAAGAGACCCTGCGCTTGCTGGAGACCCGGCGCTCATTTCTTGAACAGTTGCTTTACCCCCGGCCCTGATTAGAGACCCTGCGCTTGTTGGAGACCCGGCGCTCATTTTGTGAACTTTTGCTTTACCCCGGCACTCAAAGAGACCCTGCGCTTGTTGGAGACCCGGCGCTCATTTCTTGAACAGTTGCTTTACCCCCGGCCCTTAAAAGAGACCCTGCGCTTGTTGGAGACCCGGCGCTCATTTCTTGAACAGTTGCTTAACCCCTGGCCCTTAAAACAGACCCTGCGCTTGTTGGAGACCCGGCGCTCATTTCTTAGTCAGTTGCTTTACCCCCGGCCCTTAAAAGAGACCCTGCGCTTGTTGGAGACCCGGCGCTCATTTCTTGAAGAGTGGCTTTACACCCGGCCCTGATTAGAGACCCTGCGCTTGTTGGAGACCCGGCGCTCATTTCTTGGTCAGTTGCTTTACCCCTGACCCTGATTTGAGACCCTGCGCTTGTTGGAGTCCCGGCGCTCATTTTGTGAACAGTTGCTTTACCCCGGCCCTTAAAAGAGACCCTGCGCTTGTTGGAGACCCGGCGCTCATTTCTTGAACAGTTGCTTTACCCCTGGCCCTAATTATAGACCCTACGCTTGTTGGAGACAAGGCGCTCATTTCTTGAACAGTTGCTTTACCCCCGGCCCTTAAAAGAGACCCTGCTCTTGTTGGAGACCCGGCGCTCATTTCTTGAACAGGTGCTTTACCACCTGCCCTTAAAAGGGACCCTGCGCTTGCTGGAGACCCGGCACTCATTTTTTGAACAGTTGCTTTACCCCCGGCCCTGATTAGAGATCCTGCGCTTGTTGGAGACCCGGCGCTCATTTCTTGAACAGTTGCTTTATCCCCGGCCCTAAAAGAGACCCTGCTCTTGTTGGAGACCCTGCGCTCATTTCTTGAACAGGGGCTTTACCACCTGCCCTTAAAGGGACCCTGCGCTTGATGGAGACCCGGCGCTCATTTCTTGAACAGTTGCTTTACCCCGGCCCTGATTAGAGATCCTGCGCTTGTTGGAGACCCGGCGCTCATTTCTTGAACAGTTGCTTTACCCCTGGCCCTGATTAGAGACCTGCGCTTGTTGGAGACCCGGCGCTCATTTCTTGAACAGTTGCTTTATCCATGGCCTGATTAGAGACCCTGCGCTTGTTGGAGGCCCGACGCTCATTTCTTGAACAGTTGCTTTACCCTGGCCCTGATTAGAGACCCTGCGCTTGTTGGAGACCCGGCGTTCATTTCTTGAACAGTGGCTTTACCCCCGGCCCAGATTAGAGACCTTGCGCTTGTTGCAGACCCGGCGCTCATTTCTTGAACAGTTGCTTTACCCCTGACCCTGATTAGAGACCCTGCGCTTGTTGGAGACCCGGCGCTCATTTCTTGGTCAGTTGCTTTACCCCGGCCCTTTAAAAGAGACCCTGCGCTTGTTGGAGACCCGGCACTCATTTTGTGAACTTTTGCTTTACCCCCGGCACTCAAAAGAGACCCTGCGCTTGTTGGAGACCCGGCGCTCATTTCTGGAAGAGTGGCTTTACACCCGGCGCTGATTAAAGACCCTGCGCTTGTTGGAGACCCGGCGCTCATTTCTTGAACAGTAGCCTGAGCATCGATCTACGCAGCTGGGATACGATGACACATGTCAACTAAGTAAGTCTGCCCACCCAATCCTGTTAATCGCCTCTTACGACAAGCATGAGTTACTGAAGATCAATTCTAACCGGACTTCACGGGTCCAACTCCAGCCTACATTTGGAATTGCTAACAAAAAACAATAAATATTTTGATCTCTAAAAGCAACAACTTTATTCCACAATAGACAAGAAATTTACAGAGATGTCAGTGTTAATTTAAAGACTTAATTAAAAAAAAAATAAAGAATAGTCATAACGGGACAAATTCAGACACCCTGGAACCATAAGAGCGAACACCTGTGAGGATTTTACATGTGATAGTATATACATTTTACATGCTGCTGTTTTTCAGGGTACGTGTTGCGCCTGTGTGATCTAACAGCTAACAGAAACAATACGCAGTGACGATACTCGTCGAAAGAGCGAACGAACGAGCGAACTCGTGTGAGGATTTTTCAGTTACTCAATGTTTTGAAAATACATTTTGTATGTTGATGTTTTCAGGATACACGTTGTGTCCGTGTGTTCTAACATCTGAACAGATAAATTCTGCAGTGACGATACAGACGCCCGTAGTAGATGTAGTATCTGCACACTACTCTGTAGCAGATGGCTCGCTTGTGTCTGTCTGAAACAGAAAGAACAGAGAATGTTTAACCACTTGTCTAGAATAGCGTGCCTCCGTACACAGGGTTAACAGATTCAGATTCTTCTATTCTCCATAGGACCACCAAAGGTGGTGTAAGAGTGAATCACAAGGTATGATAAAATAGTATGGCGAGGGAAGATTTAGGGCTTGTAGCAACCAACAAGAAGCAGCTTCACTCATTGCACCACTGTTGTGGATCTACCTAGGCCTTCAGGTCGACAAGCGAACGGTTTAATCATGACTTATCAACTAGACTTTATTAAACAATAATAATATCTTTACAAAAAACTATACACACAGAGAGACTCACAGACACAGACACAGATATACAAACACTGACAAAGACCGAAACATAATCATTCATTCATTCAGTATTAATACCTCCAGTGACAGCAGTGTCGTCAGCCACGAGGACATAGACGTCGCCTGTGCACCATTCTCTCACACTGTCCAACACAGCTTGGTCAGTCACCAGTACCGGAGTCTTTGTTTGGTCCATTGTGGCCTCTGTCACCTGAGCAGTAAAACAACAGCACTAAGGTACGGTTGTCAAATCAGCCTCAATGCAGTTACATCACTATTAAATATAGAACGGCAGTGCAAAAGAATACCCAGTCTTTACAATGATCAGAATCAATTCCGGTTGGGGTGAAGGGGAAAATAACTTTGAAGATCATTGGAATTGATCACTGCAAATCAGTGATGACAACAGGTGTTCGCGAATAGGGTGAGCATGTTCTGAAAGCCAAGGTCCATTTAGCGCCAACAAGATTCAAGTCCACATCAAGCCGAAAATTGAATTTTGGATCACTGAAACTGCTATTACACTAAACTGTACTCACATCGGCTGGCAGCGGGGCTGGATCTGAGACAATGAAGCAGGTTTCGTTACCCGCCACCTTAAACACACGGCGGCCCTGTGGAAAATGTTGGAAACAGCTTGAAATCAGTTTAAAGCTATGTTTAATATTGATACAAATAGGCTACCGACAGCTAAAAACTTCCCATGGAACTGGTAATTGGCCCAACAAATAATATTCATACCACCAAATTCAGCCTTCATTTGTAACCATTTGGCGTAAATATGAACTCATTGAATATAAGAAATCTGAGAAACTGCATTTATTAGTTAAATATTTATTTCGAGCAAATTAAAATGATATAATTTCTAATTCTGTTCATCGTGTTAACTTATTATATTAACATAATATCGATATAAAATATATAACGAAATATATTTTCATTCTAACACCGACTGTAATACAATATTGTGAAAAATCAGTAAAGCTTAGTTATGAGGAGTTTAACCGTGTAAGACATGCTATCCTGGTATAGAAATGCTGATAAACAAACAGGTTACCTTTACGTCAACACCGACGAAGACGTTGTCGGCCTCCCCAGCTACTGACGACACACCTGTCCCATCCTCACAGTCCTCCTCCACCAGGGCACCATTGTCCATCTTCTCACACTGACCACATAGTTCACAAGAAAACAGTGATGAGAATGACGCAAGACAGGCCAGTCACCAACTGATTTAAGATGTTATACTAAAGCCACAACAGTATTCCGCTGACCACCTGATCCATTTAGTCAACTCGTTCGGCAGGTCATTTTCACATTTATTTCGACATTACTGACATCTTCAATTGCTTTGGAGATATCTTGAATTGAATTAGAGGCATCTAAAATTGTATTGAACATGTCTTCAATTCTGACTGTTACAGATTAATTGAAGACATCATTTATACATTGCAAGATATTTCATGTACTCCCTACCAATGAGAAACTATATCAGTTATTGCCATCACACAATAACAGAGGTTCTTCTCAAATGAAGCTTCATAGTTTAATTGTAAAACCCTCTTAGCTGCGCAAATAATTTTTTTGTGGATATGTGAATAGTTTGGCCAAATGGTTTTGGTTTTAATACCAAATTATTAGTATACATTTATATTTTGGACATATGTTGATAACAAACGTTTTGTGTTGAGAAACAGTATTGGCAAATCATGGTGTCCCACTGACAGTGTATTCGCAATGTTTATATCTGGCCCTGATTGTCACTTTCAACTTAGCGATGCAACATGACTTTTGAATTTAGTTGTTTAATGCCGAACGATGTTCCAGTTAAAAAGCATCTCCTAGAAATAACCGAATCAAACTGACTGGACTGAGTTTTACACCCCTTACAGTCATCATGGATCTAACCCAGGCCTTCAGTTTGACAAGCGAACAGATTTACCACTTGGCTAACTAAGAACCTTCATCAAACATCAATACTACCTGTACAAAACACAAACAAAACACACTCACTAAAACACATTACAAAACCAACAACAGCGAAGATTACAACACACCATTACAAAAAAAAAAGAACAACAAAAAAAAAAATCAACCAAAACAAAAGCCAACGATTACTTACTTTCTTCACTACGGGAGTTGAATAGCCAAATGCGCAGAAGCACAGGACCAGTGCAAGGACAAATGAAACCTAGAAAATATAAAACAGCAAACTAAATTATATATGATATAATATAAACGTGATACGGGCGATTCCACTACTAGCTAGACATATACCAAATTTTATTACATTCTGAGCAAAAATCAAGGGTGCAAGGGTTTAAATGTCATTTGGGATACATTGTCAAGTTTCAGGTCCAGGAAATGCATGTTGAAGAATTTGAGAGTAAGGCCAAAAATGCAAAAGTCAGATTTAGGTAATTACAAAAAATAAAGTATCACGATAAACGATGAGCCTCGTGACAGATTAGACATTATCGAATTCTAAAACATATTGAAATAAATTGCCTAATTGAGGAAAGAGTATTTTCTGTTTTCAGTGTAGTCGGAAATTCGTGATGAAATCAAGCTAAAGATAAAATTATCGCATAAAACGGAAAGGTTGTAGATCCCTTAGAATAGTATTTCTTGACATTAGGATTAAATAAGTCTCTGTTATGGTCAATAGTATGTGTTTGTTAGGTGAGCTAAAGATTAATTTACGACGACGACGGATGGCAAGGTGAGCTAAAGATTAATGGATGTCGGCAACGATGGCAAATGATGTGAGCTAAACCAATCAAAGACCTGATTGCACAAGTAAAAATTCCCCGAAATATTTTCTTACGCAATTTTGCTTGAGTTTGAACCAGGATTGAACCTTATAGTTAACGGGTCCCATTACACAATATTGATGACTTGGTGATTATACCTATACATTTGAGTTAAGCCAACAAAAGACTGTTCGCACAAATAGAAATCCCATAAATGTTTATTGCACTATCACTGCTTTGTCCAAATGGAAAATCAACTCGTTTTTGTGTTCAAGGATATCCTGCAAGACAGCAACGTGCACACGTGCACACGTGCGCGATCACAATCTAAAGCTGTTCTGTAAATGGCATTGCAGATTGTCTTTAACAATGTCCTTGAAATTCAATCCTCAGCATTAGTTATAATATTTGTTTTATTAGGCGTATTCATTCAACGTCATTAAGAATTTCAAGAAAATTGTTTATTATAGGATATTTATATAGCGCACATATACAGGAAAATAGTACATGCTCAAGGTGCTGGTATTTTTCCCCTCGATCATTGGATGTCAGTCTCAACTGCACATCGTATTATCAATCTCAACTCCCAGGGGGAGTATAAAACTAGTACAGCCTCTAGGCGCACAGAGTTATTGCGGCTTTCCCATCCTTACGAAGTACCCATTTACAGCTGGGTGGACTGGGACACATAGTCACAGTACTTTGTCCACATTTACTGCACGTTCCTGTACCCGCAAATAGGTGTTTGTACGTATTCCTGTGGCCATCATGTGGCCACCATCTGGTCATATACCAACTGATTCGTGGGTTCTTTTACGTGCACAGGGTTGTGTACTGTACACTAGGGGTTGTGACAAAACTAAAAGAGTCTGCATACAAAGTTGACTCCCAGGATTTTTACACCCGGTCACAGGTGGGCTCGATCCCAGCACCTTAAGCTCGCTTGATAACTAGCCTGGCGCCTTAGACAGCTCGTCCACCACGCCCCCAGTTTAGTATAATTCGTGTGAGATTTCATTTCAGAAATTATTACAAATGCATGACGGACACTAGATATTTCGTCACAGATGTATTATGTTGTGTTTTCAGGAGAAACCAGGATATCGCATAGTAAACAACAAAATAACTGGTCTATTATTTTGGCGAAGTGTGGAAATTATGCTCAATCCCAACGATGATGGTTATCAGAACCATGGGGTTCATCAAAGGTGCGCTAATAAATATAGCAGAAGCATAACTGAACCAAAATTCTGGTAATTTTATCTAACCCTTAACATTTAAAAATTATGAAACAGAAAATTGGAGCTCTTTCTTGTAAGAGTCTGACAGTACATTGTAAACATAATCACACACAGAAGAAAGCCTGGGGTAAGACTCTCCAGAAATGTTAAAGTATTTTAGCTCATGTTCCTGGTTTCACTAAGACACAAGCATTACAATGACACATGTCATCGTATCCCAGTTGCGTAGTTCGATGCTCATGCTTTTGATCACAGGATTGTCTGCTCAGGACTCGATTATTTTCAGACCGCCGCCATATGGCTGGAATATTGTTGAGTGAGGCGTTAAAAATCAACAAACAAAAAACAAGTACCCTACACACTGCAAACAGTGTTGGATTGTTTTTAATGCGGTGGGCGGTGGGGTAGCCTAGTGGTTAAAGCGTTCGTTCGTCACGCCGAAGACTCGGGTTCGATACCCCACATGGGCACAATGTGTGAAGCCTATTTCTGGTGTCCCCCGCCGTGATATTCCTGCAATATTGCTAAAAGCGGCGTAAAACTAAACTCACTCACTCACTTTAGCGCGTTACTCCAGCGATATGACATCAGTCAGAAAATATCGCGTCTGTACTAGGTAAAACTAGTGATCGATATCGAGGCCACGACTTCGGGATAAGGAGCGGTGGGGTAGCCTAGTGGTTAAAGCGTTGGCTCGTCACGCCAAAGACCCGGGTTCGATTCCCCACATGGGCACAATGTGTGAAGCCCATTCCTGGTGTCCCTCGCAGTGATATTGCTGGAATATTGCTAAAACTATACTCACTCCCCGCCAGGGTGCGATGACGCAGAAACAACTAAGACACTGAACCTAACCTCCCGATCAATTTGGTCCATAAATCCACAGGATCTACTTCGACACATAATCGGGACGGTAGGGTAGTTTAGTGGTTAAAGTGTTCGCTCGTCACGCCGATGATCCGGTTCGATTCCCATGGGTAAACAGCTGGAAGTATGCTGAAAGCGACGTAAATCAATTCTCTGTCACTCGAAACATAATCAGGGGGATTAGAGGGTTCGACAGCATACTGCTCCACCAATTGCGGCGCCGCAGACAACTTGGCCAACCATACCTTAAAACTTCGCGTGACAATGACCGTGACCGTGACCGTGACCTTGACCGTAAGCGTATACGTACAGAGTGTTCATCATAACTGGACATAACATTCTCATTTAATTAATCCGTGAAGATCTGTCTCTGTAAAAGCCTTGATCGTTGTGGAATAAACTTATATTATATATTGTTTCTTTATATCAGTTCCAAATGTGGGTTTTCAGAGTTGGACCAGGGTAGACCGGTTAGAATTGGTCTTCACCACCCATGCTTGGTGGTCAGACTCGCTGCTTCGGGTGACACATGTCGTATCCCATTTACGTTGATTGATGCTCATGACTTTGATCACTGGATTATCCAGAATCGACTATTTACACACCGCCGCCATATAGCTGGAATATATTAAACAACAAACAAAATCTGGTCTAATGGACACGTATTTAAATCCTTGAGTAGGTTTAATTATTCGATTCGTGAAAAGTAGTCGTTTAATAAACGGACGTCGTTGTAGTGGTTATTTTGTATGGAAATTTACCCTCTACGAGTGAGCACACCTATAACAGTGTTGATCAATGGGACTTATTTCAAAGGGTATTGTAAATACCGTCAACCAAGTCGAACGAGTGCAGGCGCTGTTATTTTCCAGCTGTGTTTCTATAGGTGGTCTGTGTGTCTATTTAGGGCGTTAGTTATGCACCGTTAGCGCTATTGAAAGTCAGTCTCTGTTTGCCACCATCTACAAAACGTTAACAATACCGTTCTATTTGAATAAGATTTCTTGGAAATCAGTCATTGTATATTCATAAAACATGAAGCAATATTTATTCGAGAATAGCTTTCAACGAAACCCAGTTACATACTCTTAAAGAAAGTAAGGGACCTTTATTTTTAATTTACGATTGTAAAAATGTTATTATGATGATTGGTGTCTGACGTGAAATTTGCATGTGTACGATTTTCATTTTCAAACCAAAAAGACGGATAGGAACAAACACTAACAACTGTGTGATGCAAAATGATTGTCAAAATTTATTGTCAACAGTGATCTATCGACCCCATACACCCCATGTATGGGGCTGCTGCGTTGTGCACCTGCATCCCATGCGTTGTGTTTAGGGGCGGTGATATAGGGAAATGGTGGTACGTTCATAAGATGTCTGTCCTTGGAAAGTTTGTTAACGCCTATACTTCCTATCCAAATTGAAATTTCAGGATCCCCTACTTTTTCTAAGAGTGTACTTTGAAAGGGTACAAGTGTATTCTTGACGTTAAAGTTTTGACATGCAACACACGTTATAATTGGGATTATAAAAAAAATATATTCACTCATTACTCACGTATTAAATGTGAATATTAGCAGAACATAACTCCAGATTCAAAGACAGGTGAACAGTTAGTATTTTGTCAAGTCACCATGGACAGCAAAACAGGCTTCAATGCGGCGGGGCATACTACTGATCAAAGAAGTTAGAAAGTCGTGGTCCATGCTGTCCCAATATCGGACCACCTCTTCTTTCATTTCAGCAATATATGTCAGATTTTTCTTATTGACACTTTCCTTCATAAGTCCCCAAACATTTTCTATTGGATTTAGGTCAGGGCTATAGCTTGGCCAATCTAATAATGTCATATTTTGGGTCCGAAACCAGGCCTGTGAATGCTTTGAACGATGTTTTGGGTCGTTGTCCTGAACACGTGAGCAGATGGACGTAAATGCCCCTCGAGAATATCTGTGTACCGCTCACTGTTCATATTCCCTTCAAATACACAGAGGGGCGTTGCCCCTAACACAGATATGCCACCCCACACGTTAAATTTCGAACTGTACTTTGGGCGCTGATACAAAGGTTTTTCAATTTGTTTGGTCCAGAATTTCAGTGTATTAGGAAACAGTCAAACAGAACTTTCATCTGAGAAAATCACATTGTCCCAGTTAAAATTTCTATGATGTAAGCACCAGTTCAACCTTTGCTCCTTTTGTTCAGGTTTAATGATCGGTGATGGAATTCCTCGACTTTGCTGCCAACCCATTGCATGCAGCTCAGTTCTAATTGTCTCATTACAGACAGCCACAGTTCCTCTATCAATCATATCCAGCCTTAAG